TTGGTTTGAGAACGGTGCACCCCGGAGAGGTGCATTTCATTAAAACGACGCAGGTGCCCATGCTGCTGTACGAATTGCCCCCCTCCAGTCTCTAGTGCCGAGCCCAACCCAATGTGGCGAGGAGGAGTTTTGAGCCCTATGACCAAATGCTCTACCATCGGACCATCTTGGAGCCCCACACGGCGTATCCGATCCCAGCTGGAACCCACTACTTGATGTTGACGGTTCAAAAAACAGCTTTTGGTCTGGACATTATCCCCGAATCCCTTCTCCTCAGCTCCTTCAGAAGGGATTCCACTTGGGGAATTTTCGAAAAATGAAAAGGTTTGATCAAACCCCCTACAAACTACCTCCTCCTACCCCAACTCATGGACTGAAGCGACCTTTGAAGGAGACGCACCCACCCAAGAAACGAGGGCGCATCATGAGACTTGTGCAGATGCCAGAGCCTAGAGAGATTCCCGTCCTTGTGCAGATGCCAGAGCCTATACAGATTCCAGTCCCTGTGCACATTCCAGAGCCTCAGCTACTCTATCCAGAACCTGAGCAGATTCCAGAGCCTGAGCTACTCTATCCAGAACCTGAGCAGATTCCAGACCCTGTGCAGATTCCAGACCTTGAGCAGATTCCAGAGCCAGATACTGCTTTGCTCGACCAGCTCCTATCGTCCGTCTATGAACAAGAACCCCAAGTGCTCCACCTGGTCCCCTCTCCCTTTGATGAAAACAATGAGCTCATTGCCTTCCTGGATGGTTTCGAAAGAGATTTGGCGATGGAGCCCCTGGACTTGTCCATGCCCAAACTCCCCTCTTATAACAAACCTTCTATTGGATTTAAAGCGATTCAACCCATGAATCTGTCTTGTAGATGATAAATAAAAAAAATTTTGAAGAAAACAAGTCTCATTCTTTGTGTCAAAAAAACCAAACCTCATTCCTTGCGTCAAAATGATACAACATTTATTGGACCAATGTCGACATCGCACGACGATCGTGTTTGGAAATTTGGGTCACTGGCCAGATCGAGTCACGTATTACGAGTCAGACTATCCTTACACCATCCTTTTTGAGCCCAATTTTGGTGTGCACGTTCCTCGGTCGTTTGGAAAAACCGTGGTCGTCTTTACGAGTCATTTGGATTTGACGTGGGATCCAGGAGTCAATTTAAAATTCTTTCAACTGGGTCGTCCCCGTCTCGCCGAGTTTGGGAAGCCCATCAACCTCACAATATGGAGGCCTATCCGTTGAATCTCACGGATTGCACGCGCCTAGCGGATGTGTACGTGAGATTATTAACGTGGTTGGACGATTGGGAAATGCATCGAGACGAAAACCTTCCTTGGCGCCTGGTGTGTCCCCAACCCTGGAAACGGGCTTTGGAAAAACACGTGGAACGCTCGCATCAAAAGGCCTTGGCCCATGGGATGCCAGTTGACGTCACGCTCCTCGAGCCTATATAACGCCAGCCTCTAGCCAGCGGAATCATTCTTTCTCAAAAGGAGCAACATGTCTGTCTATTTTGCTCATGCCAACTACTTTCTTAACCAGGGCAAGCCAGTGCCCATCGAGTTGTGTATTGCTACCCTTCCCAGGAATGGCAGTGATCCTCAAGTGCTCTGCATCACCGTCAACCATGACGGACTCATTTCCACGCCCCGAGACATGCGATACAATGCCTGCAAAAACGCTCGTCTTCTTCTGGTACGTCCCTTGTCCAAGAGTGTGCCTGTAGACTACCTACCCTATTGCGTGAGGGGCATGGTGGACCCAGGAGGCCTCATTGTCGTGAAAAGCTCAAAACAGCAAAAAAATTTTAAAGAGTTGGGACTCGTCACCGTATGTTTGGAGATGCTGCCCAAATTCAACACCCTTTGCGATGGCACCTTTCCCAACCCCATGCATGATGACTCCACGAGGAAGGGGACGTGTCTCATTGCACCATGCTGAAATCTTTTCAATTTGCAAAATATCTGCAGCAGTTTCAAAAGTTGCAGGCGGAATGGAAGGACAAAGTTTCAGCTTTGATAGAGTGAAAAAAAAATTGCCCATGGGCCCAAAAAAAGGGGGACCGAGTCGACTTAAGTGTCGACTCGGTCCCCCTTTTTTGGATAAAGGAAGGTGCCAAGGTTGGAGAGCCCCTCTTTTCAAAAATTTGGTACTTTTTACCAACCTCTTTTATTTTTTTGCATGTCAATATTGAATAACCGATAGAAATCTCATGATATGGATTGCCAGCCAATAGGAATCGATTCACGTGACCCACCAGAGTATAATAGGGGAGCCATCCGCCGTCCTTTTCTTAAATGCAACATGTCTCATCTAGCCTTTTTTGCTCATGCCAACGTGTTTCATCGTGGGGGGTAAGCCTGTCCCCATCGAAGTCTCCATTGCCAGCATTTCGGAGGATCCACAAGTCATGTGCATCACCGTGGATCATTCCAATTTGATCACCACCTCGAAAGATGACCGGGCCAATCGTTATATCAACGAACGTCTCCATCTCAAAAGCCACCTGCCTGGATCCGTGCCCCTCGAATACCTCAGTTTTTGCGTCAGGGGCAAATTTTGTCACCTGGCGCAAGGAAATCGAGGCCTCATCGTGGTCAAGGGAACCGACCAGCGCAAAATCTTTGAGCAGCTTGGACTCTTTACCATCAACCTGGAGACTCTGCCAAAGTTCCAGGACCTCCAGGACCGTACTCTGCCAAATCACCTGCACGATGAGATGCACGAGTATTATGATGTATCCGAGTTCACCATGGTAAAGTCTTATCGATTTGCTCGTCATCTGCAACATTTCAACAACCTGTAGGCCGAATGTAAGAAGCAAATGGCTGATTTGGTAGAGTAAGTGTGGAAAATTGGACTGTGGACTGTAAATATTGAACTGTAAATATTGGACTAAACCGAAAATATTAAACTGTTAAAAATGCCCATGGGCCCAAAAAAGGGGGACCGAGTCAACTCTTGTGTCGACTCGGTCCCCCTTTTTTGGATTAAGGAAGGTGCCAACGTTGGAGGGCTTCTCTTTTAAAACTTGTACTCAAACGAAAAATGTGCAAAGATTAGTTTCGAGGTTGTCCACCAAGATGTCATAAAATACGTTAAAAGATTAGTTCCAAGGTTGAAAAGCGTCCAAAAATAGAAATCGTTTCACGTGACCTCATTAGAATATATAAAAGGTGAGCAGCCAGCAGCTAGATATTAGATTGCTTCTGACTGCAGTCGACATTTTTTTTTGTTAAAACTGTCAGGTTTGGGTTGGTATTGGATATTCCAAATCTGGCAGTTTTAACGGAAAAAGAATTTTCATGGCAACAGGTCAATGCTACATGTTTTTCGTTAAGACTGTCAGGATTTGGCGTCATGTTGAAAATTCCCAAATTCTGGCAGTCTTATCGGTAAATGTTTTTAGCAAAAATCTTCAAAAAAAAAATCCGAACATTGGGGGACCGAGTCGCATGTCGACTGGGTCCCCCTTTTTTCGGGCCACATGATGCACCAAGATTGGAATGCCTCTTTTTAAACACTTGACACAAAAAAAATTGGACTCGCCTGCTGGCTGCCAGTTGAGTCCTCCTTGACACGCCAAGATTGGAAGGTCGTGAGATGGCAATGAAATGATTCTCTGTCTTTTTTCGACACACCAACGTTGCATTGTCAACATTTTATGGATCGCTGCTTTCAAGACATACCAAGCTTGAAACATCTCCATTTCATTTGTGGATCGCCCCCTGACATTTCTCCATTTCATTTGTGGATCACCCCCCGTTTTAAATCATTCGTCTGGGTTGAAACTTTTTTTTTCTCGCGCTCATCCAAAATATTTTTTCGAAAGAATTTGAAAAAAAGTTTGTTTGTTCATTATTGTTTGTTCAATCGCATAGAACCCTGCACACTTGCATTTTGTGTCAAAATGCAACATGAGGGTACAAAACTCATACCAAAAGAGCAATTCTAAGGTGAATTTCGACGTGAGACAGACTTTCCGTGCACACTTGCATTTTGTGCCAAAATGCAACAGGAGGGTAAAAAACTCATACCAAAAGAGCAATCCTAAGGGGAATGTCGACGTGAGACAGACTTTGCTTCATACGTGGGTGTGAGCTAAAAATGCAACAGGAGGGTATAAAAAAAAGGGGAAAGGGACAAAATTCAGACCAAAAGAGCAATCCTAAGGTCGATTGGAAACACCACGAGGTGAAAAAGAACCATCCTAAGGTGACCTGAAACACAACTAAGGGGGACTGACAAAAAGAGCCTATGATCCTTTGAAAAAAGGTCGTTTTCCATTTTCAATCATTTTTGGAAAGGGTCACGGTGCTCAACTTTTAAATCGACCGACTGTAAGAGAGTGGAGCTCTATATTGCTTAGATATCAGCCTCTTTACCTAAATATGGTTCAAATTATGAAGTCCGTAGCCAAAAGCCTCTTACTGCTTCTAGGTGCAAAATAGATAAACAATAAAAAAATCTCAATTTCTGAAAAAACACCTTAAGAAACTTGTAGGCATTTTTAAGACTTACGAAACATTTATCTTCAACCGTGAATTTGAAAATTAACCAGCATTCAGATTTCATTTTGGCAATTGTTTGCATTCGAGAAACTGAATAATTGAATTTTTCGGGATGCTGAGAGAGAATAAAGGACCACTTAACATAGAAATGCCTTCTGACCTTTATTTAACGAAGTCGCTAAATCCCCAAAAAAAGTTCGTTAAGTGGAAAAATTCGTTAAGTAGTAAATTATTGAATCCCTGCTATTAATTCATAATCTTCCTATCTATATAAATCTTGTTCAGATTTTCAGACGTTTATAAAATACTTTCTATTCATCCATTCAAACTCAAACACATTTTTTAAATTTGGAATGGATGATACTTGATGTTAATACAGTTTTTTCAAATATTAATTCATTAGTTAAGCTTAGTTAATGATTAAATAGTAACAAACAAAAATAATAGTCTAACACCATGCATAAAAAGGAAAATCGCTCGGTGTATTCCTGTAGTGCAACGGATAGCACGTTGGGTCTAATCCAAAGGTCGTGGGTTCGAATCCTACCTGAGATGGTTTAATTTCTGATAATGTGATGTATGATTAAATATAACAAAAAAAAAACGATGCACCAAGAACGAGTTGTTTGAAAGACACAAAAACTGGTAGGTAGAAAGAATATGTATAGAATAGAAAATGATTACAATTTCAGAAAAATTGAATGATTTATTTCAGAATTACATAGTTACAAAGTAACGAGCTTTTTCAAGATGTTGACCCACCTCTAGCCTAGATTCAAGCTGCCACACGAATTGGCATAGAGTGATAAAGCACACTGATGGTCTCCTGCGGTATTTCTTGCAAATTTGCTCCAATTGATGGGCAAGGTCATGAACATTCCCTGGTAGATGTAGTCGCCTTCTCATCATATCCTAAACATGCTCGACTGGAGAGAGATCTGGCTGCAAAGGAAGTGTTTGACAGGCTATAAAACAGTTCATAGCAACACGTGTCATATGTGGTCTGGCATTATCTTGCTGAAAAATGAGGCTAGGGTACTGCAAAGAACGGTAGCAAAACAGTTCTCAGAATGTCATCGACGTACCGCTGTGCTGTAAGCGAGCCTCTAATGACGGCCGACGGCTGTCGAAAGAAATCACACCCCAGAACGTAACTCCTTTTGAGGACCTGTGTGGCGTGCAATAGGGAAAGCAGGATCGGCACGCTGCCCTGGGCGTCACCAGATATGTCTTCGATGATCGTCATGACACAGTTGGAATCTTTAAGATTCGTCGCTAAGTAGTATACGTCCCCAGTCAGCATAAATCCAACCTGATCGAGCCAAGCACCACTGTAATCTGCCTCGACAGTGGGCAGGTGTGAGTGAGAGAGACAGGTGGCGTAGCAGTCGATACGAGCGTAAATTTCGTTCTATCAGCCGTCTGTGAATGGTCATGTGGGACACTCGTGTGCGGGACGCATGTCTGATGGTTGGTAACGATGAATCAGACGCTGTAACAACTGATCTGACAATCAATTGGTCCTCCCAACCTGCTGTTTCCCTAGGTCGACTACTACCATTCCGACGCTGAAATCTTCTTCGTTCATACTTTCTAATAGCCACATCTCTTCGACCCATATGACGAGCGATTCTCCAATTTGCCCAACCTGCCTCTTCCAATCCAATGATATGACCTCTCTCAAACTCTGACAGTTGCTCGTAATGAGCTCGAATCCTGCAGCGAGGCATTTTTCAGTCGTTGAAAGGTATCCTAAATCGCAATGCGACAGAAATTTTGGTTTTAGATTGAGAATCGCTTCTTATAGATACCTGCTGAGTGCGCAGTTCCAATGCGCTGTAGCTCCCACTATTCATTCACTGGACACCAAATTTTAATCATTTGCATGTTCACTACGAAATTTCATTACAATCCGACAACTCCTGGTGCTTCGTTTTTTTTCCTCCATAGAGTGTAGTAATAAACAAAAATAGTAGTCTAACACCATATATAGATAGGGATCCTTTTAAAAAAAAATTATTTAATTTGTGGATGGGTTCGAGTCACACGATCAACTTTTTATTTCAATTCATTTAATTATTTTTTTTTAATTAAATAAATTTATTTAAAATTTTTATAATTATAAAATAATTAAATTAATATCTAAAAAACATATATTATTTTACTATATTAATTATAAAATAATTAATTTAATAATAATAATATATATTTATAGATTATGTTATTTTTTATATAATATTCTATTTATAATATATTGTATTTCACATTAGAAAACTATTTGTAACTAATTTTTATATAAAATATCACTTAATGTTTTTATATATTTTATTACATATATATTATTTATTAATATAAAAGTATATTTATAGAATATAATATTTATATAATTACAGTAATTATTTTATAAAATACAAAATAATTACATAAAATATCATTTAATACTTAATAAACAAATTTATTTAATTAAAAAAATAATGAAATGAATTAGAAAATAAAAATTCATTGCACTATTTGAACCCTATCCTTTTGTATAGAAAGCAGGGGCTCTGAGAACCATGCTACTCCATCGCTGGTAAAATTTACCAATAAATTGTATAAAAGTTATGCATGAATTTCGAAGGCTATTTTCTCCGAATTGACTGGCCATTCGGTGCTAATGCATTGAGGGTTGAACACACTAAAGGAGTACTACTATCATACCAAGTCTCGTCCCCAAATGAATTTCCTTAGTTATGTTAGTCTGGCTCGTTGTATGATACATATCTACAAAAGTTTTATATACATGTCTTAGTTCCTAAGGCCAAGAATTTGCTATTATATACCCTATGAGGCTATATTATATTTTTTAGCTATAATGCTTGTGACGGATCCATATGCGGCTCTAGTAATCCCTTCATGACTCTTTTAGAAAAATATTTATTTCAACCAACTTTCGCCGAGTGAAGGAAGCGTGATTATGCAAATTAAGTATATTATATAAATTCTGTATTCGCGAGTTTGAAGAGTTGGCAAGGAGCTGATGAGTTAGCTGGTTAGTTGAAGAGTGAAAAATCATGGAATTATTAAGTGCATTTGGAGTTTATCAATGGAAGTTTACTGAAAGTGGCTCAATCGACGGTGATTGAATCCAAATAAGGATCGCCTTCAAAGTTTAAGTGTAGGACTCAACTTCATAAAAGTACAGGTATCATGATCCTTATTATATGGAAGTTAGCTTATTGGTGTGCGACGTAGTTTATATTGAGCGTGTTTAAGCTATCATGGAATCAAATGAGTGTCCGTATTATTATCCCCAGGCTATAGAGTCTCACCTCCACGCTCTGCTATATGATCTGTTATCTTAATTAGATTGTTATTGTGTCTGCTTGATATTTTGGTATCAATAAAATAATTAGTGTGAATCATGTCTTGATTATTCAGTTTCTCCCACACACCTAGCCAGGTCTGCGGATAGACAAGGGGTTTCAAATGGAAGCAGGAACCGACCGGTATTACATGCTTGTTATATTTCTATTTATTGTTCTAATTTGTTAGATTTATGGCAATTAAGTACATAGTTATTGATTGCGATGAAAAACACTTTTCTTAAATTTTTTAAGAGAATAAATTGGTTTTTCTTTGTTAGATTTACTCACGCAGATTCATTTTCTTTTTTAACGACTCTGAGACATTATGTTTCTACTTGTCATTTATTCTTGTTAGGATAAAATAATTCAATTTTTCGCCACTAGATGGCTGCCCCTGTCAAGCTATTTTCAGAAATCAGTTGAATGATGATTGACATGTTTCTAGCAAAACTAAATTAATTCTATTAGAATAAATGATAAATGTTAAACTTAAATCATAAATTTTAAACGTATTTAAATGCATTTAATTATTGTTAATTTTTAAAATTATTCTCATAATTTATATTTCAGTTTTTGTATTATTACTTTTTATGTATTAATAATATATTGTGTTAACTGTGAACAAAACTGTATTTTGTAAAAAAAAACCTGGTGTTAGTGGAGAACCTCACTCACTCACTGTACTGACTGCCTAGAGAGATCACGCGTAATAAAAATCCAGTAGAGATGAAGTTGGATGAATTTATTTAAAATTTCGCAACCGTAAATTAACTATTTAAACTTGGAACTAGTAATAAGCACCTAATATCTGGTGACCCTGTATTATTTTCACCCTGTCATTGTCAGTGAGGAACATCTCGACAAAATAGCGGCGATGGCCGAAAAGATCGTGGAGATAGTGCCGAGAACAATAGATGTCGCAGCAATGCAGAAGGATTCCATAGGAGTGGATCAACTCCTGTCTAAAATAGCTACACTGGAAGGCCAAATTGCCTCATTAAAGTTGCAACGAAAATTCCGGAGCCCTAGCCCTCATCAACATCAGAGGATCAGGCACAGTAAATCAAGGCACCACTACAATTCTCAAGGAAGATTCTGCTACTACCATTTTAGATTCGGGAAGAAATGCTTCCCTGGAAAATGCGTACAGCCGTGCAGCTTCGATGTGTCTGGAAAACCGTCCGAGCAGTAGACGCCGCGGAATTTTAGGCCGCAAATCCCGGTTATTTGTCAAGGATAGAGGAACCGGCTGCCAATTTCTTGTGGATAGTGGAGCAAACGTTTCGATCCTCCCTTGGACAAGAACAAAAGGTGAGTGCCAAGTCTCCCAATTTAAACTGTATGTTGCAAATGACACAGAGATCCCAACATTTGGTGTTAAAATTCTCACTCTGAATCTAGGCCTATGACGTCCATTTCAATGGCCTTCCATCGTGGAAGTTAACCGAGGAATCATAGGTTCTGACTTTCTTCAAAAGTTTCAATTGTTAATAGATCTTCTCAAAAATAAATTAATTGACGGGGTAAGAAATCTTTCAATTAAAAGAGAAGTTACTACTTTTCAAGAAAATTAGGACCTCAGTACTGTGAATAGAGCCTCAAAGTATTTCAACCTCCTTAATTCATATCCTGATCTAACCAAGCCTAACTTGGTAAATAGAATTGTCAAGCATGGAGTGAAACATCACATCCTAACAACTGGCCAACTGGTTTATTCGAAGGCCCGACAACTAGCCCCTGATAAATTGAAGTTGGCGAAGTAGGAATTCCAGTTTATGCTTGACAACGATATTATCACAGACCCTCAAAATCTTAATTGGTAAGTCCATTGTACATGGTAAATAAGAAGGTTTCCACGTTAAGACCATGGGATGATTACAGGCGACTAAATGCACAGACAGTGCCGGATCGGTATCCGATTCCCAGAATTGAGGACTTCAACTACATCCTGAAAAATAAAAAAATCTTTTCATAGATAGATCTGGTGAAAGCCTACCATCAGATCCCAATTGCTTTGGAATATAAGGAAAAAACTGTAATCACCATCCCATTTGGCCTATACGAGTTCAATACTATGAGTTTTGGACTGAGGAATGCCCCTCCAACCTTCCAGCGTTTCATCACAGAAATACTGTGTGGACTCGGCTTTTTTTCCCCTTACCTCGATGATGTACTTGTAGTCTTATCTTCAGAAGAAGAGCACAAGGA